AGAACTGGGGAGGAGATGGAGGGAGGCTTCAGGTAGGCGAAAAATGCAGTGCTGATAAAGAGGGAGACCACGGCCAGGTGTGGGAGGCACATGGAAAAGGCTTTGTGGCGGCCTTGCTCAGAGGAGATCCTCAGCACAGCTCTGAAGATCTGTATATAGGACACCACAATGAAAGAGAAACAACCGAAGTATAAACAGACAGTAAACTCAAGAAGCCCAACTTCCCTGAGGTAGGAGTGTGAGCAGGAGAGCTTGAGGATCTGGGGGCTCTCACAGAAGAACTGATCCACCTCATTGCCTTCACACAGTGGAATGGAAAATGTGTTAGCAGTGTGCAGGAGAGCATTCAGAAATCCAGCGGCCCAGGCAGCTGCTGCTGTTTGGACACAAGTTTTGCTGCCCAGGAGGCTCCCATAGTGCAGGGGTCTGCAGATGGCCACAAAGCGGTCATAGGCCATCACTGTGAGGAGGGTGAACTCCCCTCCTGCAAAGAAGACAAACAAGAAAACTTGGGCAACACATGCCCAAAAGGAAATGGTCCTGGTGTCCCAGAGGGAATTGGCCATGGATTTGAGGACAGTGGTGGAAATGGAGCCAAGGTCAAGGACAGAGAGGTTGAGGAGGAAGAAGTACATGGGGGTGTGGAGGCGGTGGTCACAGGCTATGGCAGTGATGATGAGGCCATTGCCCACGAGGGCAGCCATGTAGATGGCCAGGAAGAGGGAGAAGTGCAAGAGCTGCAGCTCCCACCTGTCTGTGAATGCCAGGAGGAGGAACTCATTGAAGGAGCTGCTGTTGGACGTTTTGTTCTTTCCATGCATTTGGAGACTGTACAAAGAGGCAAAGAAAGTGACAAGTCAGGATAGACCTTTCCGATCAATGCTCTTTCCCTTTCTCACACCCTTTTTCATCCCTGTGGACACACACACACACACAGACATTCCCTCTTGGCGAGACCTTAGTTCAGCTCCCTGTCCAGAGGTCCAGTTCACGCTGGCTTAATATACCATAAGTAGCAAGGACCTATGTCCATTCACTGCAGAGAGGTCAATCCTGCTATAATATTTAAGGGCAGTTCAATATCTTCACAGTCAGTTCTTTTGTTCAAGGCATTTTTGCCAGAAAACCAAATACTTTTTTTGGGGGGCACTCTGTGGTTTCTTTGTCTGCTCTCCAGGCACTCTTTACACTGATCTCCATGTGAAGATTCTTSAATCAAGAGAGACAAATGCTCTCCCGGTGCCCTAGCACAGTACCAGCACAGTGATTTCGCAGCCGTCCAATTTCCAGATGCTCTGGCTGGGCATCCCTCTAGGTAGGGGAAACTCTTGAGCACCCCTAGCCTGGGCTGACATTGGTCTCCACTTGCAACACACAGTTCTCCAAACTCACCTCTCTTTCTCAGCTCTGATCTCACAAGAGTGATGCAGACAGTGCAACACGGCACGTGGCTCTGATGATCAGAACAAGGATCCGATATCGTGGTTCTGGTAGGCACAGATAATTCAGGGCTCAGCTTCTACACAAGGGCAAACAGCGTTTAGCCCAGCTGCTCATATCAGTCACCCCTAGCAGCATCTCTGTTGCCCTGGCACCTCTGTGGCTTCTCAATGGCACATTCAGCCATCACAAATGACCTCCTGAAGAGCTGTGCTGCACTGCAGGGCAATACACATCCTAGTAGCAGAGCCCAGCAGGGCCAAGGGTCTTACAGGTGGCACCTCCTGAAAAGATGATCAGCTCCTTCCCCTGACACACAGACTGGGCTACTTTGACACCCAAGGGCAAGAAGNGACAAATAAAAGCCATAATAAAAATAACATGAAGGAACAATGCTCAGTCCTGTTAAGGGATACAGAAGGAGTCATTTGTGGAGAGAGATGGAAATGTTAGCACTGCTGAAAAAAGTCCATGAAATCAGCTTCTTCAGGGCAATCTTGAGCTCCTTATTCCTCATGCTGTAGATGAGGGGGTTCAGTGTTGGAGGCACCACCGAATACAGAACAGACACCACTAGATCCAGTATGGGGGAGGAGATGGAGGGCGGCTTCAGGTAGGCAAAAAATACAGTGCTGATAAAGAGGGAGACCACGGCCAGGTGCGGGAGGCACATGGAAAAGGCTTTGTGCCGGCCCTGCTCAGTGGGCATCGACAGCACAGCCTTGAAAATCTGCACGTAGGACACCACAATGAAAATGAAACAACCAAAGGCTATACAGGCAGTAAGCACAGAAACCCCGACTTCTCTGAGGTAGGAGTGTGAGCAGGAGAGTTTGAGGATCTGGGGGATCTCACAGAAGAACTGATCCACCTCATTGCCTTGGCACAGTCGGGTTGAAAATGTGTTAGCGGTGTGCAGGAGAGCATTGAGAAAGCCACCGGCCCAGGCAGCTGCTGCTATTTGGACACAAGCTCTGTTGCGCAGCAGGCTCGCATAGTGCAGGGGTCTGCAGATGGCCACAAAGCGGTCATAGGCCATGACTGTGAGGAGAGAAAACTCCCCTCCAAAGAAGAAGATGAACAGGAAGACCTGGGTAGCACATGCCAAATAGGAAATTGCCCTGTTGTCCCAGAGGGAGTTGGCCATGGATTTGGGGACAGTGGTGGAGATGGAGGCAAGGTCAAGGACAGAGAGGTTGAGGAGGAAGAAGTACATGGGGGTGTGGAGGCGGTGGTCGCAGGCTATGGCTGTGATGATGAGGCCGTTGCCCACAAGGGCAGCCAGGTAGATGCCCAGGAAGAGSGAGAAGTGCAAGAGCTGCAGCTCCCGCATGTAAGCAAATTGCAGGAGGAAAAACTCATTGAAGGAACTGCTGTTGGATGTTGGGCTCTCTCCAGGCATTTAGGGCTGTGCAAAGAGGAAAAGACAAGACAAGTCAGCATAGACCTTTCCTATCAAAGCTCTTTCCCCTTCTCACACCCTCTTCTGCCTATGTGGACAGACATGCATATGCACACACTGAGTCCTTCTTGGCAAGATCTTAGTTCAACTCCTTGTATGGAGCTCCAGCTCCTATTGCTTGAGTCCATCATGAGTAGCAGGGACCGCTGCCTATGGACTCCAGAGAGGTGAGCCGTGCTATATTATTAAAGGGCGGTTCAGTGTTTTCACAGTCAGTTATGAGGCACTGGAGCCACAAAACCAAAAGCTTCTCTTTGGAGATTATGTGGTTTGTTTGTCTGCTCTCCAGGCACTCTTTACACTGCTCTCCATGTGAAGATTATTGAATCAAGAGAGACAAATGCTCTCTCTGTGTCCTAGCACATTGCCAGCACACTGGTATTGAGTACATCCCATTCCCAGATGCTGTAGGTGGGCATGCTGTAGGGAGGGGAGACTCTTGAGCACCCATAGGCTGTGTCAACTTTGGTATCCACTTGCAACAAGCAGTGCTCAAAACTCACCTCTCTTTCTCAGCTCTGATGTCCTAAGAGTGATGCAGAGAGTGCAACAAGGCCTGTGGCTCCGATGATCAGAACAAGGACCCGGTATTGTGGTTCTGGTAGAGTCAAAGAACTTGGCACCCATCTTCTACACAAATAGTGTTTAGCCCGACTGCTCGCATACAGTCACCCCCAGCATCATCTCCCTTTCCCTGGAACCTCTGTGGCTTCTCCATGGCACATTCAGCCATCACACATGTCCTAAAGAGGAGCTCTGCCCCACTGCAGGACAACACACATCCTAGTAGCAGAGCCCAGCAGGGCCAAGGGTCTTACAGGTGGCATCTCCTGAAAAGATGATCAGCTTTTTCCCCTCACCCACAGACTGTGCTGCGTTGAGCCCCAAGGCCAAAAAGGGAACCTCGTCCTCCCCATCCATTGGGAGGCACCTCTGCAGCAGGAACCAAGGCTCTGGGTCAGATTCTCAAGCTGCAAATGAACTYCCCAGAAAGCCCAAGAAGAGGAAGAAGGGCAGCCCAGCCTGGGAGGGAAACAAGCAGCAACACCTTGGTGCTTCTGCCTAGGTTGGCAAAGGCAGCAGCAGAGAGGCACACTTTGGACGGCCTTCCCTAACCCAGCTGTGAATGCCAGATCCTGCATGGAGACATCACAGAGGGGTTGTTCCCAGCTCCTTTGCCTTAGTTAAGTAAATGGAGAGCTGGCAGGAGAGCTGCTGCTCTCCTCTTTTGGGGCTCTGGCTGCCAGAAAAGGACCTTGTGTCCTCCATCCCTTCTCCTGGAGGCAGAGGCTCAGCTTGGGGCTAGAGGAAGGGTGAARGGTGCTTGTGGAGGAGAAGTGTCTGCTCTGCAAGGGCAGGCAAATAATTTCCTGCATCCCAACCTTGYAGGAGTTTTTGGMAGCAGGTTCCTCTTGCCTCTCATCACATCTCTGCTGCTTGGAGATGTCCTTGATGAGGCCTCTTCCCCTGTTCCCACCACAGACCGCAATGCCCCCTTGCTRGGCATTCAGCTCAGCCACAGAAAAAGCAGCAAAGGGCAGGAAGCACCTGGGGACATCTCCCTGTTTGCGGGTGCTACAGAGCACATCTGAGAGTCTCTGGTGAGAGTGGGAAGGGGATGTCGGTGCTGTGTGCAGGCTGAAAGTTGCTGAAGGCACTTGATGAGGTTCCTGACAAACCTCTCCAAATTTCACAGTGGTGAGGAAGATCATGTTCCTCTTTCTTAAACCTTTCTGCTACGCTTCCATACCCAACATGCAGACACAGGTCTACAGGAGTGGAAATCTCCACTCTCAAAATGCCCTCCTGGTGAGCTAGAGCTGTGGGCAGCCCTGACCCACGCAGCAGCCTCTCAGCACCAACAGGAACCTGCCCTGCCAGGGCTCGACCCTCTCACCCASAGCTTCTCCCCACAGTGTCCTGGGGAGCTCCCGTGCAGGCTGAGTGCTGACCCGCACAGGCGGCACAGTCACTGCCCCGGGCACACAGCACCATTGGGTGCAGGGACACGGCTCTGGATTAGAGCTCAGGCAGGACACTGTGCACACGCGTGAGCTTCACATCCCTGCAGCTTCCATGGGTGAAGCTAGGAGGATGCCATGTCCCTGGGACAGTGCGGTAGGAATCCCTGCTCTGAAGCATCTCCTCCTCTGCACTGCTTGAGTCAGGAGAGGGAGCCTTAAAAAAGGAATAAATCCCCCCAAGACAGGGCTCGGTTGAGCGCACCCTCCAGCAAAGTCAGTAGTCAAGTCCTGTAACCAGAGACTCACCGTGCCGAGGGCTGGCAAGATTCCTCCACCATGAGCTCCCTGTGCTCCCACTCCACACTGCCCTTCACCTCTCGCTGCCTTCTCTCCTCTGCTGTGCGCAGCAGCAGGCAGTGCCCGCAGCCCTGCTGCTCTTGSCACAGCAGCTGCTCCTGCACACAGTGTCTCTGGGCAGGGCTCACAGGTTGTCACGAGCTGCCTCCGTCCCAGGAGCCTGGCCCCGCTCAGGAGCAGAGGCCCAGCTGAACTCACCAATTGCCCTGTCCCTTGTTCTCCCTCCTCCTGGGAAATGGGTATGAAACAACTAAAAGAATCACACCTGTGGTCTTGTCCTAATGAGTGGAGAAAGAAAGATTGCAAAATTGCAGTCTATTTCATCAGAGGATGACTATCTCTGCAAGTTAGAAATGTCCCACTCTGGAAGGCCCTAGTTAGGAAGCCCCTATTAGGCAGGACAAGCAGAATAGAGGCAAAAAGGAGACTCACAGATTCAGATGAGTTAATCTGGGCATTCCATGCTGGTTCACAAGCCCTTGGCCTGGGATGGATTTCACATCCCTCCCATGAACTCCACAAACACACAGAAGGTGGGATGCTGCTTGCCTGTGATGAAGTGTGCMCAGCACTGACATGTGCATGGGAGCTTCTTCTCTAAGCTCCCCTTGTAACCACTGATGATGGAGGGTGTGAGTCAGCAGACAACACCCAAACAACTGCTTGAAGAGACAGAGGCGATACCATGAAGGTGCCCCTGTTTGCTTGCTCTGATGGAGCAAATGTGAGACCCACATCCTCATGGATCTGCAGGAGAAGAACAGATGGGGAATTTCCTTGCCCATCTTAAATGACCCCTTCCACTGCTATGGGAGCACCTTACAGTACAAAGCAGAGACCATAGCAGATCATTACAATTTAAAAATGAATATATTTCAGTGCAGTTATGTGATTCAGTGACATAGAATTAGGCTTTAGGGCCAAGTCAGATGCCTGAGTTTTCCAGCATAATGCAGTGTCTCCTCCAGGACACAGCATGAGACCCATGGGRAGCCATGTCCCTTTTGAATTKTTTCTGGGCAAGAATCTCAGGGCATCTCAGGTTTCCTACTAGCGTCCAAACAACCGGATCCCACCAACTGGATCCTATCAGTCCAACGACTGGATCCATCTGTCCACTAATGGACTTTAGGCCAAGTCCATCCCTCCTACAGCTGTGCATGCTTCATTAAGGGGGAGAGGCACCTCACACCAAGGGCTCTGCTCTGCTCTCTTCACTCAGAAACCCTTCTAGCTCTTCTCTTCCTCAACGTCTACTTTCCTAACCCAGGGATATGAACAGGGAGACTAATGATGGTCTCAGGATCATCATCATCATGGGCTATACAGGACCAGGGACATGTGCATTGGGTAACTTTGTCCTTTCTGCAGATTGGTTCAAGAAATATTTCACAGGCCCAGTGGTACCACAGAGTGATCTCACACAGCAAATGCTTATGTGTCATTCCTGCATGGCCATCACTGCTTCTTCCAGGTCTCAGGCACTGCAGATTTTGCCGCCTTAGTGGGAACCTCTTTTCTGTACTTCCTGAACAAATCTATACTTACTGCACCAGTACAGGTTAGGGGTTGACCTGCTAAAAAGCAGCTTGTGGAGAGGGATCTGGGAGTCCTGGTTGACAACAAGGTGACTATGAGCCATCAATGTACCCTGCTGGCCAAGAAGGCCAATGGGATCCTGGACTGCATTAAGAGGAGTGTTGTCAGCAGGTAGAGGGAGGGAATCTTTATGCTCTACTCAGCTCTGGTGAGGCCACATCTGGAGCATTGGGTGCAGTTCTGGACTCTGCAGTGCAGGGAAGACATGGAATTTCTAGAAAGAATCCARTGTAGAGCAACAAAGATAATTGAGGGACTGGAGCATCTATTGTATGAGGAAAGACTAAGGAAGCAGGGCCTGTTTTCCCTGGAGAAAAGAAGATTGAGAGGGGATCTGATCAATATGTATAAATAACTGAGGGGAGAATGTCAAGAGGATGGAGTAAGACTCTTCTCAGTGGTGGCCAGAGACAGACAAAGGAGTAAGGAGTATCAATTAAAACACTGGGAGTTCCATCTCCATAAGAGGAAGAACTTCTTTACTGTGAGGGTGACAGAACACTCAAACAGGGTGCCCAGAGACGTTGTGGATTCTTCTTTTCTGGAAATATTCAAAACTTGCCGAATGTGACCCTGTGCAATGTGCTCAAGCAGGTATCCCAGAACATGCCCTGAAGATCCCAAGTTTGGATATGAGCTTTGAAGAGAGGGACGTGGGTGTGCTAGTAGGTTACAGCCTGACCATGAGCCACCAATTTGTCCTTGTGGCCAAGAGGGCCAAAGGTCTCCCAAGGTGTTTTAGGAAGCGTGTTGCCAGCAGGTTAACGGGTGATGTTACCACTGTCCACTCAGCCCTAGGGAGTCTGGAGTCCTGTGTCCAGGTCTGGACTACCCAGGAMTAGAGGGAGCTACTGGAGAGAGTACAGTGTGCGGCTCCAAAGAGGATGAGGGGACGGGAGCTTCTCTCTTGTTAGGAGAGTCAGAGAGAGCTGGGCCTGTGAAGCCTGCAGGGAAGGCAAGAGGGGATCCCATCAGAGCATACAGAATCACAAATCATTGAGGTTGGAAGGGACCTTTAGA